CACTTTCTCGCTTTCTCGCTCTCTCTGGTCAAATTTTACAAATAATGATAATGAATAAAATTAAGTAAAAAGTAATTCTAAACATTTTTTTAAAAAGTATTATCAGTATCACTCATGAAAGATTGACCAGCAGACATCAGCATGCCATAAACCTTGAGAACAGCTCAAAGGATGATTCAGGACATAGAGAAATTGGGACTTGGGAGTATCTTTCTCAGTAATTCATCCTTTTTAACACTATTTAGGTAAATCAAAAGTAGGGCCAGCAGGTGGCATGGAGCTTAAGGCTTCTGGCTGCACCTGTGGCTTGAAAAATCATACCAGGTACATGTGCACACATGCCCAAAACCCCGAGAGGAGAATAGAGGGGAAGGAATTGTGGAGTGGCCATGCCCCAAGGAGTGATTTCTCACACACACACCCTCGCCCTGTCTCTCTTTGGTGAGCATACACACCCTATAGCAAACTGAAAAAATAAAACAAATCAAAAGCTCCCTCTAAGTTCTGGGTTCCTGGCTTACGTAGAATTCCAGTCAATGCTACGACTGACGAGGCTTGCTTACAGTGCTGCCAGGGCGGAGTACTCCCCCCTTTTTTGAGTTCTCAAGTGGGATCAGGTAAGAGCAGGGGATGGGGCAGGGGAAGGACACACCCATACTCAGAGGGGAAATTCCCAAATTCAAAATAAACGCGAAAGCACACCAAATACCCTCTCGGAGGCCTTTATTTGTGCTGGGATCCAGTACCAGGGTGAGGTTCCTGGGTGGTACTGAGATCCATTTCCTGGTGATCCATCCTACGGGAGCATTTTGAAGGCAGGTCTGGTGCTACCCTGTATGAGGGGCAGTTAGCCCCAGGGTCCCTTCCATCTGTGTAAAGAGGGCAAGATGGCGCCCACTCTCACCACCCCACCTACCCTGTCGATCGGGCCTTCTGTGCTGACTCTACAACGGCTGCCAGAGAAACTCTATTTTGCTGGCACAGAGAGCGTCTCCTCCCCCCTTGGAAGTAGGTGCCTGTTGCTGAGAACTTAGGTTTGCTTTCATTTAAGTGGCCTCCCCAAGGGGTCTCACCATGCACCTCTCCCAGTAGATGACGGGCCCCTGAAGGCAGGTGCCCCGTCACACTGATGCTTGTCACACTACCCCTGCATTACCGCGGTCTTCCGGAAATGCTCACATCAGTGAACTAGAATCGGCCTGTGGTCTCTTTGCACTTTCCAGGTGAGACATGAAAGGGCCTTGGGCATCCGTGTGTGCTTTCGGTCTTCACTAGACAGTCATTCATTCACTCATTCACCCACACACTTGTTCATTCATTCACTCAAGTCTGGGTGGCTCGTCAAGTGCTGGGCGCTGTACAGCAGAAAGGGAAGCGCGGTGACGGGTGTCCTCGGCAGAACGGTATGGCGAGGCGGGCAGTCCTTGGGTATGCTTCGGGGCAGTGGCAGGCATGGCAAAGGCTTCCCAGAGGATAAAGCATTCCCGTGGGGCCTTAGAGGAGGAGCACGGGCAGAAAAAAGGCAAAGCAGCAGCATCCTGGATGGGACCAGCATGAGCGGAGGGGTTAAGAGGCCCGGACTGTACCTATCATCCCATCGCCTGGCGTCGGTTCTCTGGCATGGGCAAGGGTGGAGGAGGCCAGACACAGGGCTCGGGAAGTGCAGAAAGGCCTGAGTGCCACGCCGAGAATGGGCTCACATACCCTACATACGACCCGTGCCCTGGCTTGCGTGCCCCTGGAATTCAGGAGCTGAGCTTTGGCTGTGAAGTTCTGAAGATGAAACTTAACTGTGGGATTGGAAGGTGAGGCCTTTGGGAATGATTAAGGTTACTGGGTGAGGCCCCACGTTTGAGTTCTGGCGTGTTTATAAGGAGAGGGAAGGAGGCCCAAACCAAGACCTATGAACACAGCTGCTCCGCTATGTTCTCACCTTCGAGTTGGGCCTCGGACCTCCAAACCATGAACTAAATAAACCTCTAGCTGCAAGATGCACCCAGTTTCAGCTGTTTTCTGTTATCTGCAATGAAATGGACCAGAGAAAGTAAAGAGGAGTCATCACAGATTTCTGGTAAGACCACGGCATGACCTGTCTTGACCAAGACCACTCTTACGCCATGCACTCACGTGCTCTTTACAACGAGGACACGGCGTGGCAGGGATGGGACCCACCTGTCCCTAGCAGTGACAAGCACAGGAGGAGCTTACACGATAGAGTGTGGCGACAACAGGGTGGCTGTGTACCTGGCAAGGCTAGCCTGAGTCACTTGGCGAGGAGAAAGAGAGTACAAGCAAGAGAGGAAAGCAGAGTCCTCTCCCCCATGGAGAATGAGAATCCAGAAGAAAATGTAGATCTTACATGGTGGGAAAACAACACGAGACCAAGAAGCCCCCTCTAAGCCACCAGCTGGGCCTTCTGTGTGGTCACTCCAGCCCAGGGAAGTTCCAGCCAGGAAGCAGGCACGCCCCCGCCCTTCTCCAGGAACTGTCTGCCCAACGGGGAGGGAACCCCTCTTCTGCAGCTATGCATTGCTTCTTGAAGTTGCCTGGGTGTGCCTGGGCCAGGAGACACACAGGTTGGGGAGTCCAAGGCACTGGGTCCACACACTCTAAGGACACATGGCCATGGGTCAGGGTTGGCGGCATCCTCACCTCATACCCCTCATCCTAGAGAAACCTGGCCTATCTCTAGTTGTTGAAAATGTCCAGACTGGGCCTTGGAGCTAGGTACCAGCCCCCACCCGCAGTCCTACCTAGCAAACCCAGCTCAGCACTCTGCTGGGCGAGGAAGCCCTGCACCACAGGGTTTGTTTTCCCACTCCCTCAGGGCCCAAGACGCTGTCGCGACAGTTGTGTTTCCTTTTTCTCTCTTCTGGGAAGGGACATGACACTGATGGCTGCTCTCACTAGTACAGAGCGCCTCGGCCACACTCTGCCCTTCACACTCCCCCCCACAACCCTCACAAGGACTCTGCCAGGTAGGTGTTGTCACCTGCACTGAAGCTGAAAACGGGGGTTCTGATGTACCCTGGAACGTGGTAGAGCGAGGGTCACGCCCGACTGACTCCAAGCCAGCTAACTCCAAGCCAGCTCTGCCTCCAGCACCAGGAGCTGCTAGAGAATCGAGCAGAACTGTACGCACTTGCCACAGCTTCGGGGCCTCCGGCAGCGCCTCCTACCTCTACACACGTCAGGGAGGAAACAAAGGAGCCCGTTTTGAGGCTGGAGCCCTGGAGCCAGCAAAGACACAGAGCACAGCAAGTTCATTGTCCACAGCACTACCAGGAAGGAGACAGGTGCAGCGCGGGCAGACGCTTCCTGCTCGGGGTATCAGCCGCCTGCCCAGGCCTCGCCCTCCTCGGTGACCCTATTACCCTGCGACACCAGAATGCAATTCCGTAAGACATCGTCCGCTGGAAGAATTAAAAATACCATGACCATCAGCCTGAGGAGGGGGATCAGGTTAGATCACTAAGGGTCACAGCTGGTCACCCCATAAAGCAGAGTAAGAGCCAGGGCGGGTGTTGGTGAGAATTGAGCCCGCACCCCAGCAGGGCTACCGTGAGATGGGGGTACACCATATCCCCTCTGGGCCAGTCTCCCAGGCCAGAATTTGGGTATCAGTCCTGGACTCTGGCCTCTTGCCCGTTTCCACATCTAATTAGGCACCTAGTCCATCTTCAGACCAACCTCTGCAAGCGTTCTTGACTCTGTCCCTCCTCATGTCTCACCCAGGTTACTCCTGGCTGCCCCCACCCAGCCTCCAGGCTGTTGCCATTCTCTCCTTGCCCCTGGCCAGAAGAATCATTCTGAAACACGTCCTCCCCCCTCCCCTCCCCATACACCTGGCCCCAGTAGCTAAGAGGAAAGTGCGACCTCTCTGACTTATTCCCACACCCTTACGTCTGCCTCCTGCCTTCCTCCAGCCACTGGGCGCGTACTCCCTCTCCCTGGACTTCCCGGAACACACCGAGCCGTTCTGTGACCACCCTCACTGCCAGCCTCGCTTCCCCTCTGCTAACGTCTGCCAGTTCTTCAGAACTCAACTCAAATACACCTCTTCCAGGAAGCCCTCTCTGTTACCCCAGTCTGACTTAGGCTCTCCAGGCCCCCCGTGCTTCTCCTAACACAGTACTTGGAGCTGGTGATCTTTTAAGTCTCCCCACTAAGTTCCCCAGGTAATAGCTGAGCCCAGACAGCCTCAGTGGATTCTGTATCCTTCGGCAATACCCAGGCCACAGGGACTTCAGAGAGAAAAAGTGAATGGGTCTCCCTCCCGGGAGACAGGCCCGGGTCTGATCATGGGTTAGAGGACCTTCAGGGGTGAGGCGCATCAGCTTCTGCAGCTGAACTCAGTCACTAAGGGAACCGATCCTACTTCGACCGCGTTCTTGCTTTATGAAGTCCTGTGTGGTCGCAGTGAACTTTCTCAACCCTGCATACTAGCTACCACAAGTGCTCACGGCCCTGTAGGCAGCTGTGTGGCCACGGTTTGGGTGGTAGGGTGAGGGGCAGGACAGCCAGCAGGCCCTGGGCTCCAAGACACACACAACCTCTGGGCAAGGGATGCTGGAGGCTGCACCGCACTGGATCTGGAGAACCCGCAACCTTGGCAAAGCTCCAGAAGCTTCTTGATCTGCCTGCTCGGGACTTAGCCCTCCGGGACTGAAGAGTTCAGTCTTGTGAAATGCATTTGGTTTCAAGTTTCCTGCCATTCACCCCCAGCACCCCAGAAGAGATAAAGTGCCTGGAGTCTGATTAAGAAGCTTCCTGTAGTCAGCCCCTCTGTGCAGAGGCCTGATATGTAAACGGAAGCCAGGGAGGGCAACAGTTTCCGTGGTCCCAGGCCTCTCCCAGGAGCTTGGGGTTATCAACTTTAAGGCGAGGGAGGACGGCCTAGTAGGTAATGCCCGCCCCCCAGCAATGACATGGGGGGGGTGACTGACGTTGGGGTCCCTGCTTTCTAAGCTCTGGCTCTTGCCCTCACTCCCCTTACTGACCTTGAGATCAAAGTGAGCGATTTTCTTTGTGTGAAGGTAGTTCACACCGTCCAGGATCTGCTTAATGAAGCTGGTGGCCTCCTCCTCACTCAGTGACTCCTTCTGGGCCAGGAAATCGAAGAGCTCTCCTCCAGACACTCTGCAAGACACCAGCGGGAGGGCCCCCGCCCAGTCAGCCTGCGATGGGAAGAGCCAGGCTAATGAGTGTGGCCCTGCACCTGACCCCCAGGAGCCCTGCCTGGCAGAATCCCCCTCGTCTGTGTGGCGGCTGTCCACTCAGGGCGAAGGACCGACTTTGCTCCTGTTTGCTGTGTCCTTTCTTTAGGACCACCCACACAGCAATCGTTCTCTGGGTGTTGCCAGAAAGGCCTCTGCTCACTCTTGACCCAGGTCCCTGGTCAATCTGGATGTTCCCCTCTCCCAGTGACAGAGGTGACAGAGGGCAGAAACAAGCAGGGTGGGATGATGCTGCGGTTTCAGTGTTTGTACCGGGCACTTCATACTTTGAAATCCTGACCCCCAGGATGACAGTAATGGGTGGCGGGGCGTTGGTGAAGTGATTATGTCATGAGGGCAGAGCCCTGGTGAATAGAATTAGTGTACATAAGAGACCCCAGAAGGGCCAGCCAGTGGCATGGTGATTAAGGCAGCTGGATCCCATGTGGCTGATCACAGTTTGAGTCCCAGAACTGGCAGTTAGAAAAACACAATGGACATGTGTGCATGAGTGCCCCAAATCCCAAGGCAAGAGTGGAGAAGTGACTTCAGTATGCTCTAGTATGGTCATACCCCTGGGGGTGATTTCTCTCTCTCTCTCTCTCTCTCTCTCTCTCTCTCT